ATAACACACACTTAGAGATATTAACCGCCTAAATAGTGTTTAAACAGTAGAAATTAAAGGGATCTGCATCCAAATTTGATGGCATCTTACCTAAAATATACAGCATCCCTCCATTAAATCCGTTCAGTTGTTGTAAGCTTTGCTTTCAAACAAACAAACAAACCAAACAACAAACAAATGGGCGAGTTGAAAACATACCTCCTTGGTGGACGTAATTTATCTGAAGTGTAGTACTGACCTTTTCATCCCTGAACCATGACGGGCTCTCTGCAGTGAGAATAAACCAATACTCCTTGGCTCCACATTTCATTAGGCTGATGCAGCATCCAGCAGTCAGCCAAGGGTGAGGAGCTGAGATAACATGGATGACAGCATCATTACAATGGCATTAATAAGACAGGTTTATGGAAAATTAAATAACAAGTATAACCCCAATCAAAGTGTGCAAAGCAGGTCACACTATGACGGACCTTGCAAATGAAAATAAGAGTAAACATCAGAAATGGTTGATACTGGAGGTCAATAAGGAGATTTTTAAAGTTGAGATATTTGTGAATTAAATGACAGATTAAACATGCATGGACCAATTACCACAACTGACTACCAGTGGGCTTCATTAAACATAAAGAAGAAGAATAGATATGTAAATGTGAAAGTAAAAGTGAACAAACACATTTGGAGACATGGCACTTAGTAGAACGCAGACCTCGATCAAGGCAGTAACAACAGTCTGCTTATGAAACCACATTTAAATTCATTAGATTGGGATTTTTATTTGGATCTGCATCAAATTTCACATTCTCGTAGATAGCAGTCTCGTAAACAGGTCTGATATTTTCATCACGATCCATGAATTATTCTCTGAGAAATGAATGAAAACGTTGAAAAATGCATAATGATCTGCCCATTGATCCGAATCCAACCAAAAATGTTAATGGTTCTAAATCTGGTCATGCCTCATCTCTCCACAAAAGTTTACAGAAATTTGTTGAGTAGTTTTTGTGGAATCCTGCAAACAAACAAACGTGCCGATGAAAATATAACCTCCTTGGTGCAGGTAATAACAACAAGATGGAGGAGACTAGAAGAAAGGTGTGTGAATGAATGAGAGAATTCTGCGGACAATAAAAATGCTAATAACTACACATATTGATGGAGCAGGGGAACTGAGGGAGGTAAAGGTTACACGGCTGAGACATAACAGAAGACAAGTTTAAAACATTAGAAAAGTATCATTAGTAGAAGATGAGAGACATGAGCTTTGTTCCTGCCCTTGCCCACACATATGTCCAGCAGAGGCAGAAGTGAGTGAGTAGGTTTACAGAGATTAGTCGCCTACTAGACTTGAAGGAGGGGCCACACCACGGAGAAACAACAGGAGATGTAGGAGTAAAATTAAGATGCAGTTTGTTGTTCGTCCTGGGATTGATCTTGTGTATTCTCTTTCTGGAGCTGTAATTATGTTCCACAGTACCTCTACATCAATCACATCAGACTGAGACAATAAGAAAAAAACTAATTGCTTTTGATTGACTACATTCCTGTAAAAAGCCAAAATCAACTCTCTAATAGTGAATAATGTATAACACATGGGGCAGTGACGTCACTGAATATGAAAAACAAATTCAAGATGGATGGGAAAGGTTTAATTCAGACTCACATTTTGCACTTCAAAGAACCACTGGAAGCAAACTATCAGTTTTGAGTAAAGCCTAAGGGATATTGGATTTTTGGAGCAGATAGTGGAAATTATTTTATGGAATAAAGAAAATTCACATATCGATGGTATCTTTAAATATACTTGCTTTTCCATTAACAGTGACGGAGATAGCTTTTACTGTTTTTGTTCACCTGGACAGAAGACTTCGAATGCAAATTACTAGTTTTGTGCAAAGCACATTTTCTCTCTTTGAGATGAATCTATTTATGTATTTACATCATTTCTAAATTACTCCATTATGTTCTGTAAGAAAAAAGGTTTCATATCGTGCATATCAATCATTATTATAGGCTCTATTTTTGGATAATTTAATGCAACATTACATCATTTGAATGTGGGTGTGCGTGGATCAAGTATTGTAAATGTTTTGTGCACCCATCTATGTGGATTACTATCTTGATAAGGCACCTTTACAAGACCAGTGAAAATATTGACCTCCAACCAGGTTTTATTGCCAAAAGCACAGTTGCTTTGTACTGACAGCATATTAATATGACAACTATGAACACGACTATTGGCACTCAGACCAGAGCATTTGTTATTAACACAATGTTGGCGCTGAACACTAAAAATTCACTCATGTAGCGCTTGGTGCCTCTTTGCACCAAGTGTGGTCCCACTTGTCCCCGGATGCATCCTCTGGGGATCATGAATGTGATGTTTTTACTCAATCTATTGGCAAATCCTGATAACGTTGTTGAGAAACCTTTATTCTGTCAGTGTTGGCCTGTGGTGACGCTCTGAAGCTTCAGACTTATTACTTGTCACACAGTTCCACAACATATATGTCTAAATCTCTTATCTATCTATGTATCTATCTATAGATTGATAGATAGATTGGTAATAGTGTTATCCTTAATATTGTTATACCTTGTTGATACACTGGTATAAAGTAGTGCTTATTTCTCGACTTCCAAGTCAATACATTTCAGTCTTTAGCCTTGATATTGGTTTTTTTCACTATAGCTTCAAAGGCCAAATGTCATGTTGTCCAAAGGTAATGTAGAAAACAACAAAAAAGAAAAGTTACATCTGCAGCAAATAAAAAAAGCAGATAGTCTCTGTCTCTATATCCTTTTCCCCATCAATTTCCCTCTAACTTCCATTAACTGCTCAGAGTCGACAGCCAACGAGTGAGTGAGCGACTGAAGCATTATCTTGGTCTTGAGTGCAGGGCCATCAGAACTATTTAAATCATCGGTGGTCATACATACACATGTGCCAATTCTATCAACAAAAAAAGGACAATCAAAGACACTGATGAAAGACAGATACACTGCATTTTCTGATGTGTCCTTGGGAGCTCTTGCCAGAGTTTGTTCCATTACAACTGTACCATACAAGCAGGAAATGAGTGTGTCTGTACAACAGCAGTGAGCATGTGGTGGAAAGTGGGCCAAATCCCCTATTTAGTATAGTAATAGATGTAATAACACCAGGCCCCATATCTAATGTTTGAGCTCTTTGCTGCACAAGAGCAGTTCTTTCAGCGGGCTGCCATAGCTAATGCATTAGCCCTGTAAGAGAAGCATGAAGGAGCTAGCACCTGGTGCTGCTTTATGGTGCTTCAACCAGTCTGGTTTCCCCTCGCTCTTTCTCTGTCTCTCTTGCTTACTCTCTCTCTCTCACTCTCTGTCTCACAAACTAATACATACAGTGAAGACGAAAACAACAGGTCCCACACAGAGATGGCGTCAGTCTTACATTGAGTTGCACGAGACAGTTTTTTGCTTGCAGATGAATTGCCTGATCACATCTCATACCTGCATGTGACTCTACGTCAGCTGGTTGGTCTCCTCCAGGCAGGTCCATGACAGGAGGGTATATCACTGCCAACACACGCTCACATGCAGAGGAGTACAAATAAGCATACAGGTCATAAACATGTCATGTGGGACAATTACAAACACAGAGTGTGTTACCATGTGGGGGGTGAGAGTTGCCCTCATTAGATCTGTGACTGTGCATCTCTGCCTTTGTCCTTTGCAGATTTCATTAAAGCCTGAGAACTTCTTTCTGTGACATTGGAGAACTCAGAGTGCTTTGGACAAACAAGCCACACAGCAGAGACAGGAAGATGCGTACAGTGCATAAAAATGTTGGCTACCTTTGAAACGTTTTTGGGTGTTGTGCCATAACAGCCTTGTGTGATTTGATTGTTCTGAACATAGTGAAATGTTATACTGCCACCTGGTGACAGCTTTACAAAATAAACACTAGAAACGAGTGTTGAACCCACCGGTGTTGGCGTCAGGCAGCAGCAGGATTACAGGTCTGCACTCCTGTGGAAGAAGTGTCTGTTGGAAAAGACAGACTGAAATCTGCAAAGGTCACATGCACACACTTGTATCTGATATGAATTCATAATGTAGTCTTGGCCTGAACCTTAGCTTCACATCCACCATTTTAACTTACATTTATATATTTACACATACTCTACATAATGTAGATGCAGAGATACGACCATGAATGTAAAAGAATATGTATAATAAATATATAGACAGCTCAATAACTCAGGTAACTAGACAAGTACAAATAATTATACTTAAATATCAAAATTAATGAAAAAGAATACAGTTTGGTGTTGAAATGGGCTTCTTATATATTTCTACATTTGTATGTTATTTGTGTAGTTGGGGGTTAACTTTGTCTTTAGTCGGACAGGTTATAGTAGCAAATGAGAGGCTGTCATTCAAAGTATATCATGGTGTTGAATTGTTCACCTATTGTGAGAGCACTGCTTGACTATACATTCTATACTAGTACTAAGATATCAGTGATGATCAAAAAGTCTTGTTGTGTCACCAATCATCAAACCCACAAGCAAAAAATCTTTCCGAGGGGGCCCAGCTGTCCCTGCATTACTATGGTACACACAGCAGAGGTTAAACTGCTACATGTAGACATTTTGTAAGAAATAATAGTACAAATACATAAATTCATAAAGAAAATATAGATAAATGAATAAACAATTGTGGAAATAAATAAATGTAGAATTACATGAACAGCCCTTTCCTTCACCAAACTGTATACATTTTTAAATCTATTTATGAATTGACTTATTTATTTCTGCATTTATTCATACTTTTTGTTTTGGCAATTATGAAACTACCCATTGATCTGAACTGCTTCATTCTTGAGCAATGAGGGAAATAGTAAGCACCCTATACTGTACTGAGAACTACCAGTAACTACTAAGAGAAACTATAGGTGTATAAATACATAACAAAAACAACAGTAATGGGAATTAATTTTGTTGTAGAAGCACCACAATAAGATGTCAAGATAAAACATTCTTTACTTGTAATTGCATGTTGATGTTATACATCATATTACTTTACAGTGGGCAAGGTCAAAGTACTTATTCCAATATTTCATCACCTTCACCATATTAACACATACAAACTTTACTCTACTTTAAGGTCTTTTAAAAGCTCTAAAATGTCTATATGTGGCCTGTGGTCGCTCCTGTTCGAGCTCAGGGCGCTCTGCAAATTCTTGGCTGCTTGGTTCAGGGACTGAGGGATGTGGGCACTGTCTGATGTCTTGTTTCCTCCACGAGAGCACAGAAGGACTTCGTTGACCTCGCCTTCAATCTTTCGAGAGAGAATGCTGGGGAACACGGTGCTGATACGCTGCAGCACACTTTTCCTCAAGGCCGAGTCACGACACACAAGATTCAACATGAATATGCCTGGTCGAGTGGCCGGGAGAGATAAAAAGGGAGAAACTTTTAAATATAGATAAAACATACAAATATGATCAAGTATTTCAAGTTTCAAGTTGTTTATCAGAATTAATTATTATTAATTATAGACTAAAAAGATTATGGTATCATCCCTGTCCCTTTGTTTGTGAGCAAGATTAGAAAAAACTCCCTGACAGATCACCGCGAAACTTGGTGGAAGGATGCCGTATGGGTTAGTGAAGAACCCATAACGTTTGGTGCAGATTTGGATCAGGGAAATAAATTATGGATCTGGATGAAATCAGGCACATTATGGGACTTGCTGATAAAACGTCTTCCAACACAGTATTTGTCAATTATTTTATAGAAAACTTGCCAGATAAATATTTTGTATTAATAAGTAATGGTACTGTACCTCTGGGCGTTAGCAGGCTGCTGACTTTCTGCAGAATCGAGGTTTCCACAAAGGCAGCAGGAGGACAGCTCATACCCACAGTGCTATCTTTATTGTCTACGTCAAACATGATGACATCAAACAAACATCCACCTGTACAGAAAAAAAGACAAAGTCACTTCTTAGTAAAATTTATATATTTACTGGTGTAGCTTCACTTTTCACTGCCCTCTTTCCTCCTCCCTCCTTCACTAACCTTCCTTCTCAAGGGCACAGATGCGTTCAAGGCCGTCCCCGAGTGTGACTGTCAAACGATCATCAGGTCTGAATCCGAACCATTCCTTCGCCACGTCCAGCACAACTGCATCTAATTCCACAACCTCAACAGTGACATTGGGCACAAAGTCCCGCAGAAACTGAGGCAGACCTCCTCCCCCGAGACCCACCAGGAGCACCGACACTGGGATGTCTGCGAAGGGAGAGAAATGTCAAAGTGAAGCTCAGTCAAGTGGGATGTTTTAAGTAAGAGGATGGAAACCTGTGGCTGTTTAAACTGAACTGACCTTTGCTCTCTGGCTCGCCCACCCCGAGCACGGTGAGGCCGGCCACCATGACCTCATGGTGAGCGCAGCAGAGGAAGCCACTGTCCACTGACAGTGAGGATGAAGACGCTGTTGGAGGAACTGCTGGCTTAGTTTTCTTTTTGTTCCTCTTCTTGTGACTTGAGGCTGAAGGGACACAAATACACATTTATTCAAACTGTTTACATCCTAAATAAATATATTTAAATATTGAGCTGTAGGATCTGAGACCCATTCGATTATCCTGGGTCTGTTAAAAATGATGTGTAATTACTGATTGGACTCAAGAAGACCTGGCTGGAGAGTGTAAATGATGGCTAATTAGCAACAGCAGCAGCCAAGGAAACATGTGTAATCATAAAAGAGGCGAATATTCCAAGCCACCTTTATTTTACTGGAACCAAACTATAAAGATTATCGTTAACAAGTTTTGTCCTCTCTCACTGTGAAAATAAATGGACTTTTAATCTGAAATCACGAGTGGCTTAGGTTAGCAATGCTGTTATTTCAATTACCAGGAGAAGAATAACAGAAAACGTGGATGTATTTTACGAACTGTCCTAGAGAATGGATTATCTTCACCACAGCCAAGCACAGGGGAGAGCGCTGCTAAAGTTATGCTTGGTATGACACAAAGTTTGGTTTTGACACCTTTTGAATTTGTCAACTTGTTAAAGTAATCAGACTTGAAATCTGTGTCTCCCGGCCGGGCTGAGGTCCAGCATTTCTGGACCATCCACCTGTCAAATGATAGACTGGTCCAGGTCGGGTTAATTTCTGAGTCTGTTCAGGTTCAGGAGTACATTTTTGGACATGGGAACAAGTCTAATTGTGAGTAATGCTTTATAAGTTAATTAATTGTAAATTATAGAAAACTATGTGATGATTAACTGAAAGACAAGAGAAAGGAAAAAACTGACTGGTCTTTGAGGAAACAAGTCGGCTTTCTGATTGGACGAGGGCGGCATTAGACAGAAAGACAAGTCTGCGATACAGTTCTCCGTCTTCTCCTTTGACGTTCTCCACACAATACTCTCCACTCAGCTCGCTCACTCCCCTGCTGACCTCCTCTCGCCAGCCCAGATCTCCTCCCACTGACAGAAATGGCACCTGAGTGGGGACAGAAAATCTATAATTACTACACACTTATTTCAGGTAAAATATCTTACTACATTTAAGGGTGTTTCTAAAAGGGATTGTTTACCTGCTGGTTGGCTGGCATACCCGGAGGAGCCAGGTCCATCACCATTGGTGAGAGTTCTGATTGGACAGCTTGCATGTCTGTATATTCCTGATTCCTGTGCATTGCCACGATAACTAGGCGTCGAAAGTTAGCACTGGCTGCCAGCTGCTTTTGCCCCTCGCTTGAGCTGTAGAGCCAAGCTGTCTCGCTGCCTTGAGGCACTGACAAGATAAGCAGAGGAAAGACAGAATCACACAAGAACAGGATACAACTTTAGGAAGGTTGAAACATGATGAAATAACTGAATAACTCACCAATAAATATAGCAAAGTGGTTTGATCTATGCAGCTTGGCTCCTGGGGAACAATCTTGCACTGTGAGCGTGTATCTGGGATGACCAGTTTTGGTGTGGCAGAGAGTGAGTGACAGGTTGGAGCTGGCGTCTGTGCCTGTGCGGAGCTTTTTTCTTAACACAGAGTAAGCCTGATGCTCCCTCACTGCTGACAACAACTCTGAAACCTGCGTGAGACGTGTTGGGGCTCCATCTTCCCCGAGACACATTTCGAGAATAGGCGTCGGCATTGGCTGACGAAACTTGGTGCAGACCAGAACAAAGACGGGCAGAGAAAACGAGTCCTCTTCTTTTCCACTTTCCCCCTGCAGGCAGTGGAGCCTCACAGCCCACCCCAGCTGTACAAAGTGCTCCACGGCCAACTTGATCACACTCTCCTGAGCTAATGTCACACAGACATACCGGCCTCCGACTCTTAGCACACGGCCCACCTGCAGATAAGAGCAAACTTCTGTAAGGAGAATGAAAAGCTGTATGCTGATGATATAATGTCTGTGCAGATCAAAGCTAATTGCTTTTATTACCTCTGTGAGCATGTTTCTGGCCAGAGCTCCTTCCTCCTCGGAGGCCATTGCATCCAGCGTCCCTTTGTCCAGAGCAGCTTGGTAGCAGGCGTCCTCATATGGGGTTTGTGTAGCATCCACCTGCTGGAAGGTCAGTCCTGGCCGGCGCTCAGCATTTCTCTGGTTCATATGAGTCACTACTGTCTCGCTGATGTCAATATTAGTCAGATGTTTGTAGCCGACATCATAAAGCTGTTCACTCAGCTCAGAGTTACCACAACCGACCACCAACACCTGAAGGACAGAAATACATATATTCAACTGTTGTCACTGGCAGTATTTTCCTTTTACGTATTATGTACCTAGACATATCTTGTACCTTTACATCCTGTACGTGTACACATCCTGTACCTGTATATATTGTGTACCTTCACACATCCAGTACCTGTATATATTATGTACCTGTATATATTGTGTACCTGTATATATTGTGTACCTGTACGTCACTGGACAAAGGCGTTATGTTTACCTGATCTTGTACTTTGATGTATTTGTGCAGGACTCCACACAGTGTGTTGTAGTCTCCATACCACTCGAACGCCTTGTCTCCTCTCTTCTTGAAGAATCTCTCCCAGTACTCAGCAGAGCTGAACTCCTCAGCGGTGCGAGGTAAAAGACTCATTCTCCTCTCACACGTTTCTTCACCGTGTCCCTTCCTGTGTTTGGTTATTTTCTCCACATGGCGCTTCGCACTGACTTTTCACTCCGGACAACGTTGTTGGATGAACCACTCTCTGATTGGTGGGGGGTTGTAGGCGGAGCTACGCGCTACCCGGTGATTCGCTGAGGCTCCCGGGTGTAATTTTATTGGCCGCTGCTGAGCCGGAAGTGCTCGGTCCAGCTCTGTTAGTCGTCCGGGTGTCGCTCATCATGGCCGCGCAAGCAGGAAGGTCTGTGGTCTTCGTGACTGGAAACGCGAAAAAACTCGAAGAGGTCAGAGTTCGTCAAAGATTTGTTACATAATTTATTATTATCAACGAATTTATCATCCTCGTGCTTTCACAAACTCTGCTCGACAAATGTAAACAGTGAGCACGAGCTGTAGTCCAATCCACAAGTCTAGTTTCACAATAACTAGTGATCAGTCCTGCTGGATTCACGCGTTTCTCCTGTTATTGTTTCTCCTTCACATCCATCAGGTCATTCAGATCCTGGGAGACACGTTTCCTTACAAACTAGTTTCAAAAAAGATTGACTGTAAGTATCAAACTATAGAGATCTCTTATTGTGTAGTAACTGTATTACTGTATATACAACAAACGTTTTATTTTACATACTCTTTTCTTTATCTTATATTTCTATTTATTTTGTCCAGTGCCTGAGTACCAGGGCGAGCCCGATGAGATTTCCATACAGAAGTGTAAGGAGGCTGTAAAACAGGTACAGTAATGACACAGGAAGTTCTCTGTATGGGCAGCGTGTCTGCTGCATGATTGAAATGTGTGTTTCTCACCTTCAGATCGACGGGCCAGTCATAGTGGAGGACACCTGTCTGTGTTTCACAGCATTAGGAGGCCTGCCCGGTCCTTACATGTTCGTATAGTAACCTCTTCAGCTGTTTATCTGTAATAGTGTTAGTAAACTGTAATTAACACATTTCAACTTTGTTGTTGTAGAAAATGGTTCCTGGATAAACTCAAGCCAGAAGGTAAGAGTGGTAATTTATGAAATACTGCAGAGTAATTACAACAGAGAACTTTAGAGCTGGATATTAACATAGACTGAGTCGTCCAGCATCTCTAATCTTTGTGAATTGTTTTGTTGTAGGCTTGTTTAAACTCCTTGCTGGGTTTGAGGATAAATCAGCGTGGGCTCTCTGCACTTTTGCTTACTGTGCTGGTAAAAACGAACCAGTGCAGCTCTTCAGAGGGAAAACAGAGGTCAGAACACATCTCTCAGTGTGTGTGTGTGTGTGTGTGTGTGTCTTTACTTGTATGAATGTCTTTGTGAGGACAATTTTGAGACGAGACATTACAGAGTGAGGAAATATTGGGAAAGTGAGGACAGAATGACCGGTCCTCACTATCTGACTCACTTTAATGAGCTGTTTTAGGATTAATATTTAGTTTTAGGGTATAAGGGTTAGAATTAGGTTTAGGTTAGAGTAATGGTTAGGGTCAGGCTTTTGGTTGTGATGGGGAAGGTTAAGGTAAAGGTCTCCTGAATGCATTACACCAATACTTGTCCTCACCAAGATAGTACAAGAATGTGTGTAAGTGTGTTTTACTTTCCCTTTACACTTTTCTTCTGGATATTTTTCAGGGGCACATTGTGGAACCCCGTGGACCCCGAGACTTCGGTTGGGATCCATGTTTCCAGCCAAAGGGACATAACAAAACGTGAGCAAGGGTTGAAATTCCCTATTCATGCCACAAGGGGGAGCCATATGTTAACTCATTGTATAGGGGAAACTACGTGGCTTGAATTTCAGTTCTCGGACAGTTTGGCTTTAACACATCATTGTGATGATCTGTGGTCACTCGTCTCATTTGTTTCAAGGTAAAAAGAGATTTATACTCACTATTAATTATGTCGCTCTAATCTACAGCTACGCTGAACTGCCCAAAGAAGTGAAGAATTCTATCTCCCACCGCTACCGGGCACTGGCTGCCATGTCTGAGCACTTCTCTCAAACCAACGATATCTCACCACAGAGCAAGAAGAAGAAGGAGCAGGAGGATTAAACCATCACTTTAGGCCAAGTTTCAAGTTTCTGAATCAAACCTCAAATCATCAGATTTGCCAATGCAGAGGATACTTCTTGACATTAAGATGTTTTCTGGGGCAGAATTGTAGAATCTGTCAAATATGTTTTCCCTTTTTTCAATAAACCTTGCATTCATTTCTAAAAAAAGTTTCTCTGTGATGCTTACTTCCGATTTGTAGTTTGAATTTCTATCAGTTGAGCGTATTAAAGATATCTTCCCTATACTGTGGAAAGATAACTGAAATTGCTCCAAGCCTTTTTTCATTGTTGTCCAGTGGACACTCAAAGAAGATCTTTTTGCTTCCAAAGACAGACAAAGATAGACTTGGTGAAGAACATAAATCATAAAAGGAGGGGCTCAGAGGTCCTGATGAGGGTAGCAGACAACTCTGGAGCCAAGACCGGCTCCTGGACCTGCAGAGGAAAACAGAGGGTGGTTCGGGCTGGAGTCCAAAGAGAGGGGAAGTGGGGCGGGGGTGTGGGAGTAGTTGAGAGGGAGGTGTTCAGTGCAAACAACAGTGATAACGGGGGAGTCTGGGTAATAAATGACCCTGGGACTGGAAGTCTCTGAACAGGAACTGTGCATACACCTGTGACTGATGCCTCCCAGATGTACTGAAGATCCACGACGTCACACATCCTCTTGAGTGAGACCAGGAGACAGGGACAAAAAGAGGTGTCTACTTTAACCAGCACAGGTTACACCCGGCTGTTGATAACATTCAGCCAGTAAAAGCACCACTTCTTGAGTAAAAGGTATTGTTGGTGACAGGATTGGACTTCTGTTTGGGTCATCTAGTTTAGTTCAGGGACCGGTCAGGAAGCAGCCTGTTGTTGTGAGGAGGAACAGGAAAGATATATTTGTCTTCATCAGTAAGACGTCACTTCACCTGTCAGCCAAGGTTTTTTTTAGCAGAACATGGAAGACGAGTGCCAGACATCAGGTCACTTGAGGTCAAAGACATCACCACGGCTCAGGCATCCGTCCTTTCCCCCCTGGTGACTCAGTGTAAACATCGTTACTTTCAGTGCTGTCGATCCAGAGGGGCCCTCTCACACGGCAATTCTGAGAATTAAGAACCTGTAAGATTTACAATGTCGAACATGCTGTTGTGTTCTGGCTCTTTTCTTCACAGCATCATTCTTCTAATGCCATTCTCCCCTTTCTACATCTGGATAAATATGAGTGTTCTTTAGTTTTATTAGGCCCACTACATTTTCCAATTTTAACTCTAAAACTACTGTAACTTAACGTAACATGACAGCAACAGACAGAGGTGGAAAAATTATGTTTCCGGGTTGTCTGTCCTTCAGTCCGTCCCATTCTTGTGAACATTATATCTCAAAAGCACGATGAAGGATATTAATCAAATTTGGTGCGAACGTTCATTTCAACTCAAGGATGAACTGATTCGATTTTGGTGGTCAAAGGTCGCTGTGACCTCACAAAAATAATTTTTTTGAATAAGTTACTTTAAGAATGTCTCACGGTAAATTTGGCACAAATATTCACTGGTTAGATTTGGGTCCTCAAATGTCATTGGTCAACATAGCAAAACATGTTTTAGCCTCTTGAATATATCTTGTGTGCCTTGAAGGAATTTCTTCAAATCAGTTGTCACTTAGACTCATACAACCCCAGTGTGTTATTTCTAGTTTTTTTTAACATGTTACATTTTCACAATTCATCATTTGAGCCCAGGACAGGACAAACATTTGCCTCTTAAGCCAACAGAGTTCCCTAAAAATGTTTCTACAGGATATTTTTCAGTTTACAAGAGCACAAGTTTTGCCACTAATACCACATAACTGCACAGTTAATGTCCGGTGTCTCTGTAAGGAATTTTCTCTCTTTCAAATGAAACAACATAAATAGAAACAGTCATTATTTCTCTGTAAATACATGTTCTTATGAACAATATCATGAGACCACTCCACCGGGAATATCCACGAGACACTAGGGCTTTTTTCAGGACCTGGAAAAAGCTTTATGTTTGGGGAATGGTTTCCTCTTCTGAGCTGCAAGTCAAACCCTCATCAGGTCTGAAAAGACAGGCTGTTTGTAGACTTAATTACAACCAGAACCAACAGCAGCAAATTATCTAAAGTAACAGAGGGAGACTCTGCTGTTGTGACACTGTGAGTATTGTGCTTAATGAAGGAATGTGCTACATTGAGATGCCTGTCTTGATTTCACCAGAGGATGAGGAGGTTTTGATGTGGCTTTCAGGAGACAGACTTCTCCTCTTATTTATTACACAACTCTAACTGGATCCCCCTGCCTGCAGAGATGAGTTTGATTTAACAGCAGACTGAAGTTAAAATCATTTATTCTTCAAATAGCAGTGCATACCTTTAAATTTAGCATGACTTTAGACTTCCAAAGTTGAAAGGGCTGGTTTTGATTTCAAAGCAACGATTAATAAAGGCCATTTTACAATCCTTATTTTCTTACTTTGCCAAACTAACCCTCAAATTAAGTCTTTTCATTCCAGGGTTCAGACTAATGGATTACTCCACCATGAGGCCACTGAAGTAAATGATGGAAACAGTTGACATTATACATATTTCTGCTGGGACCTGTCCCCTCAATTTTCACTGTTTACGACCAAAACCCAGATCCCATTGAGGACACTGAGGATCCCTCAATACTACCTCCAATTTAACTACAAGCATGACTGTGTAAGCATGAAAACAACCGAGGATGACGGCATAACGAGTGAGGAGGGAGTTAATGCCTGACTGAGAGGGAGAAGGCTCACATAAAAGGAAAAGTGCTGCACATATTGTTTAATACAAAGAAATAGACAAATTGCACAAAACTGATCCCAATCTTTGTATTGCACATTTAGTAAATAAATACAACAGGTTTGTATTTATTTTAATATTTCTATTTTATTCTTGTTTTATTATTATTTCATTCCCCTCCTAGGCTGCGCAGTTTTGCTGCTGTGTCGATTGTGAATTTCCTCTGCAGAAGATCAATAAAGGTAGATATTATTTTATTTCAAGTGTTGGGAAACAAAAGTGAAGAATCCCCATCTGCATGTCTGATATTTGCCATTTGTCTCTAATCTCACATTTCTCTCAGAAATGTCTTGAAAAATTAAGTAAGAGCTCCACACTGCAGGTCATTTTGATATTTAACCTATGAATAAGCCTTACTCAGGCCATCCCAAAATAATAGAATAGTCCAGAACATTACTTGTAAAATTTATTATGATACAAATATGTTCACATCATGTGATAATTTGGTCTTTTCAGTTAATTTTCAATCTATGACAAAGTAAACATCAGAGGTGGAACAGAGCGTGTTATTCATGTGTGTCAGGGCAGGGGAAGGACTGCTTTCAAATCTTTTGGGCTGAGATCGTGCCACAGGTCTTTTAATCATGAGGCCCCAGGATAAGCACAGCTCTGGTAGATTTAAATGTAGCCCACTGGTGTCACAGAGAAAGACTGAACGTAATCAGGTGAGGTTGCCAGTGGTTCTATCCAAACAGCCCGGGGTTGTGCAGAGTCAGAGTCTGCAACAAGCGCTGAAAGTCCTGCACGGTCCACGGAACTTTGTGTGTCTGCACAGCTGCTGCACTGCTGCTGTCAGGGCTGATGCTCTGCGGGTCATTGAAGGTGATCAGGATGTCTGTGGAGAACTGAGGCAGGCGGAACACACCCAGATGAAGGGTCACGGCGTTCCTCGCCTCCTCGTTGAACTTGGACACACTCTGCGTCCCCGTCAGCATCCAGGCTGAGCTGCACTGCGACAGGGACAGGTCAGATTTGGGAAGAGCAACAACACTGATCACTGCACAGGCACCCGGCTCCAGGGCTTTGTTGCTGCCTGCGATGTCCTCAAAGTGATACCTGGCCGAATCCTGGTCTGCCACCTGGGCCTGGTACTCCACCAGCTCCACTATGAGGCTCTGATCGGTGTGTTTGTGGGCGAACACCTCCTGGTTGTCTGGGATCTCCCTCACCTCACTGATGTCTGTGGCAGTGTGGGGGATGGCTGCTGACAGAGCTCCTCCAAACAGAGGATGAGGCTGCTCAGCTCCCTGCATCTCTGTGTGAGGACTGTGGGGGGGGGTCTGCACAAACAACAACCAACTGAGTCTGGTTTCAACTTGCTGCTGCCACTGGAACAACTCCTGGTTTATATAAGTCAACAAGAAGCTCGTAAACACAGCGTGATACACACAGACACAGAACTCACCGACTTGTCACGTTGTTCTTCTTTCCTTCTTCTGCTGTTGCTTTTCTTCTTCTTCAGTTTCCGGCAGGCTGTGGACTATAGAGCACAATGCTGCCCCCTAAAGACCAAGACTGGATGTTGCTTTGGACCGGTGGTTCTCAAACGGTGGGACACAAATCCAAAAGTGGGTCGCAGGGCCCCTTTGAGAGGGACGCAGTTTTGTGAGTGAAAGAAAAAAAAGTTTTGGGGGAAAAGTCAAGCTCTTTAATGCCGTGCTTTTATTTTGAAGGACTTTCCCATGAGGCAGCACCACACTCAGCTCTTGTTGTCATAACCACATTGTATCAGCTGTTAGCACCAAGGCACGCAGTTGTAAACAAAACTAAAAAATATTGCAGCTACTACATTAAATATGGGGTTTCTCATATTGACGACAGAAAGGGACCAAAAGCACAGTGTGAAGCATGAAGCTTCCAAAACAACAGTTTCAAGGGTTCAAGTTAGATGCTGCAGAAAAGTTACTGAAAGCAAGAAATTTGAGTAGTTAAAAAATGACCTTGTAGGTCCTGATGCTCACCCAATTGAGAAGCACTGGTTTTGCCGACATTTTTGCATAAACAGGCCAAAGAAGTGAAGAAATCTTGGAACTACTCAAACATGTTGAAAATGTATTTCAAATGAGGGTGTAGCTTTAAAGGGAGAAAGAGAAAAAGCACAGGTCTGACAACTTCCTGAATAACTTTTTTAAAACATACTAAAAAATACATACAAAACACTCACAGAGAGCACAGACGTGTAGACACAGACAATATCAATAACAACATGGTAAAAAAGGGGTTAGGAGCAAATACTCAAATGACTTAAAGGTTTAGTGTTATTGATTTATTGATTTTTTTGTAGTCCAGAATGACTCCTATCTGTATGTTTAGAAAGAAATATATTCTTATGGATTTGGATCTGAGGTAATCATGCATCATGGATCTCCAATAAGATCTGTAAGGTTTCATAATCATAAACTACATGTTCAGTTGTTTTAACATTTTATTGTGGGGTGAAAATACATTAATCAAATCCTCCTTTGAGGAATTCATTGAAGGGATAACTTTCATTACTTCAGTAGTTTTGAAGTGTACTTCCTTGAATTTGATTAGAATTGGTAATCTTAATAATTTTGTTAAATCAGCCATAATTATTACTTTTTCTATAATCTTAGAGATCGAGTGTCCAGTTTTAAAAAGTAAAGTAAAAATAGTTATACCGAAAAAACATTCCCTAATAACATCGTTATAGCTGCTTAATAGATTGTTTGAGTAAAAACATATAATGTTTCTGACATGTGATGGAATGGAAGAACAGAGTAGTGCCTGAATGTTATAAGTTTTAATGATGAGTTGGACGAATTTAGGCAATAATAATAATTCCCCACGCTGTCAAACATCTGGATCTCTCTCCTCGTCCAGCTGCGTGTGGTTGCCGGTCAGCTGATCCAGGCTGAGGGGAAAGAGGAACAAGCCAACCGCTAGCATCCATGATGATAATCCAGCCTCGTCGTCCAGACAGCGTGTGAAATGAATGAAATCGATCCGTAAAAGACACTTTGAAACCTCGAGACCTCACCAGACCAACAGCAGAGCCTCTGTGTGTCCGTGTTCAACACCGAGCATCGGATCTCTTAGGAAAGCAGCAGGTAACTAGCCACGTTAGCATCCTTAGCTTAGCATAGCCTGGTAGCTAGATTTGCCATTGAACCAAGCGGCCTGTCTGAAAGTGCACAGAATGAGTTGCCAGCTAGCTACATTAGCAACGGGTGATTTCAATCACTGTAGTTTGGTAGAATCCTGGAGGACACGAGCCACAGTGTTTGCTCTGTAGCTCAAGCTAACAGGCAGCTAAGCTAGCTAACTGCGATGTAACTAGTCCAGAGATGTCAGCTTCATTGTCACTCCCAGCTCCTCTCAGGAGGTTTGGTTTCTTAGACAACAGCATCTCCCCACATTCATCTATTAGCATCTGTTTCAATGTCCTACTTTATTTTTTTTATCAACATGTTTAAATTTCTGATTGAACTTCTCTCTTGACTTGTTTTCTAAAGTCAGACTTGGCCTCTTTTCCTTCTGTGTCTGTGTTTGTCTTCATGCTGCCACTGCTTCAGTCCTCCGCTCTTCTCTTCTCCTCTGTTTACTGGAAACTTCCTCTCCTCTGCTGGCCACTGAAAGGCCTTTTTCCTTCAGCAGTGCCAGAAAAGGACGCTGCTGAAAACCACAGTGTCAGACTGAACTGGATTCAATGGTATTAGTTGCATTTCTGCACTGAAAGGTGTGTGTGTGTGTGTGTGTGTGTGTGTGTGTGTGTGTGTGTGTGAGAAAGAGAGAGAGAGAGTGAGAATCTGCAGTGTTTTCCCCCCCTTGAGTAATAGAGTAGGAGCTGAGGATCAGTATTCAGTGTAGCGTCACTGGGACCCTGTTCAAATCTGGTATTAACATCTGTCCTGATGAGCAAACACACAACGCACCCAAATGTGTCGTCAATGTGTCCTGAGATTCAATCACACAAACCACATTCTGAGGTGGTCTTGGAAGCATGTGGCCTCATTAAAGAGACGTCTACTCAGCTGAGGTCCTCTGACCCGCTGCACCTTCACAATAAACCTATTTTTACTCTTTTCAGTGTCCATACTTTGATTTGTTTTGGCCACAGTATCAACACTGATCGCCACATAATGATTGATAATATATTATATCGTATCTTCTGTCTTCACAGCTGAGCTGCACAAGATTCATTTAACCACTCCTCTGTCTCTCTCTTTCCATCTCTCTGTCTTGCTCGCTCATGTCACACACAGACACACACACATTGACAACATGTACATCTGTAAACTCAGCCTGAGTAAAAACAACACCATTTGATCTTTGTGAACACAAATGATTATTTGTTTGTGTGAACACATGGAATTAGCGCTGTCCACTTCAGGTACTGTGAGATCTCTAAGGACGCATGGTAATACCAGGTCTGAATAGGGCCAGAGGCACTGCTGTGTTTTGTCACATTATTTGGAACATGTAACACACCAACACAAACTCAAGGGGGTATAAATGGAAGAACATTATGTTTTCCACAGCCGACATTGTCAGGTTTTTCACTCAAAGACACAGAGCAGTGATGACATTTCCTTTCATATGATAGACAGTGAGACTTCTGGATGGCTCACAGCAGATATATGAGGAATCAAGACATGTATTTTTAACTGACAAGATATTAAAGTGTTACAGAAAGCAGGCTTACTTTAACAGGCTAGTGTCCTCATATTGCTTGATGATGACCACCAGACTCTTATCCGATCATTTACTATGTGAATGAATTTTGTTGTTGTTCTGCTCCCAGCCGAGATCTGGCTGCAGTTATGGCTGCATCTCAAATGACTTACTTCCACCTGCCAATATTAAAGTACTTTCGTTCAGCAGGCTCAGTGCAGTGTCTGACTGTTTGTGTTCTCGACTTGACAACGCCACAGACTTTAACTAATCTTCTCCTCCTGTCCTCTAGAGGGAGCCAGATCAGGAGGAGCAGCCTGAAGCCACCATGCCCCCCAAGTTTAAAAGGCACCTGAATGATGACGAGGTCACGGGATCTATTCGCAGTGAGAGGGTAAGACACACATTAAGGGAGAGCGGGGGCACGTTTAATCTCAAAACGCTTTGCAACATTTTGCTACAGTTTGTGGGTTGAACAACATGTTTGCTCAACAGAGTTTGCAGCAGTCTCCAAAGTGTGCATTCTCTATCAGAAGTGTTATCCAATCTGTATACATTTGGCAGGTTTGTTTAAACACAATGGATTGTAAAGTCCTTTACAAATGTGCCAGCTGCAGCTGCATGTCAGAAGCAGTAAATACAGAGTAGTAAAAAATAGAGCAACACTTGAGTATCAAAACAGTGAATGATCAATGCACTACTATGTACTTTTGAATAAAGGTTTTGCTACGTTTTATCCAGGCTGAACACAGCCAAGATTTTGTTCAACACCAACACCAGTAAGCAGGGGATAGGGATTTATAAAAACAGTCAGATCTGGTGTAAAACTGTCCGACTGAGTATCGCTGCAAAATAATTATCCTAAATTAATGTGTTGAATCCTTTTACACAATAATTGCAAGTACATTTGATGTACTGTAAGATTTCTTTTTAAGTGCCCATTGTTGTTCCAAACCGATGCTGATTGAAAATGCTGAATTTCGCCGTAAGATATTTTGTTCATCAAGTAATAGTAGTGGAAAAACTGAGGGGAAATAAAAGGGAGTGGAGGAGGTTGGGGAATTCAGGGATGGTAACGTGAAAAACCCCTGTGGCCAAAGGTCTGGAGTTAATCAAAGCAATCATCCACCTCCACCCTGCTTTGTCCTCTCGCTCATGCTTTACTTTATACAGTCATTTGTTTCCTCTATGTCATCTTGTTTACTCTTGTGTTGAACTGGGATCAAAGATAAGCTTACGGGAGAGAACAAAATGATCCCTTCCACCTAACCTGTTTCCCCTTTAGTGCTCCACCCCCCCTGTCTTCTGATAATCGCTAACAGTCCTTCATGTGGCTCATCTAAGACAGACAGTAAGAAATCATACAGAAGGAGACTGTTAGTGCCTCTGCTTATAAAGTTCTTCATGATCATCTGACCCCCATCCCCTCAGCATTTTTGCAGATGGCCTCGTATTTACAAGAAGATAATGGTCTATGTTGGCATGGTGGCTGTCCACCTAACACAACGTCCATGAGGTTTCATTCATGCAGAGTGTCATGTAGGGTAGAAGGTGAATACCATGAAGGTTTGAGATATAACTAAAGCTGCTTTCAGACAAGAACTGAACTCAAATTTGTGAGATAGCAAATGTCTGAGTCATTAGCAGTGGAAATTCTCCGGAGTTTCTCCTGCCAGTTCTCTAGAAGTAAACTACTTCTACACAGCAGAAGAGTCTCTGGAGGATTCACTGTGAGAAAGTTGGTGTGTTGATGACATTATGACAGGAGACAGATGCAAAACTAAAAAGAGAATACAAATATCTCAGGATGAAAAAGATTTGCCATGCATGTACAAGCCTCAGACGACAACAATATTTGAGCTGTAAACAGGAACACATGATCTCCGTAGTGTCATTAATATGTTATGTCTTGCCTCCTGCGTGCTGCACCACCCCTCACCTGAAAGCTCTGGAGATTTCTGGGTTTTGAACAAAAATGGCTTAACAACAAGGATTTGTTGTCTTTGTGAAAGACACTTAAATCGTTCAGTCTTGTGTTTGAGTGCACTAGCATCAAGGAATTCCAGCGTCTAAACTTCTCCTGCGTCCTGTCTTTCAAATGTGATAAATGCTCCCGAACTGGAAAAAAATGGAGACCATTCTCTCCCAGAAGCAGGGAATATAATCCTGCCTACAACTTTCCAATGAAAAACAGACTCTTAACTGTCTCCTCCTGTGAGAATTTAATGTAGCTGTCCTCGCTATGTCTCGTCTCTGTTTTTCTTTGATAATCTCCCTTAAGATCACAGGAAGTCTTTTCTTATACCTGAATTTGAAGATGCATTTTAGACTTTCATCAAACTGATTGTCATGTCAGACTGAGATGTTGTTGAGGAGTCTCAGCGAGCAGAGCAGGGTTGGTTTTTATTGAGCGCTGGCAGAACTTTATTGTCAGTCATCATATCTTAAGTGCACTACAATAATAATAGTGCATTTGGACCTGCAGTATCTGTCTTCATAAGCAGCATCAGTTATAGCTATATGGCATCAGTTTCATGTCTGCCTGTCAGCAGCACCAGTTGTTAGTGCCAGGAATGTACTCTGACTGACTAACTACATTCTGGTTCTGGAACTGGTCTGAACTTGATCGGAAAACATTTCAAGCTATAAAATACTTAATTCTGCCCGTTTAAATCTTTGTTTTTAAAGTGTTTATCCACAGCAATGGAATCAGCATATCAACATACTGTTGGAGGCAGGTCATTACCCCCGAAACCCAAAGTTGGTGTCAGACCAACACAACTGTATAAAAACCAGTGGAAATGTGGCATCTGGTTAGGTTGTTCCCAATTCTTACACAGATACTGATCTCAGAACCGCAGAAAACGATTGACTCTGCTGTGAAGCCACCGTCTCTGCTCTCATCACAAGACGTCCTCTGAATAATATCAATATCCAGAGTTGATCCTGATTTGACCTGTGACCTTTTCCTCTTTTACAGAGGAACCTGCTAGAAGAGGACTCTGACGAGGAGGAAGACTTCTTTCTGTAAGGATGTGTTTTATTCGGATACCGAGCTTATTAGAACAACAATAGATATGTAAAGTACATTATACACAGCAGAGTCACAATTAACCAAAAAGCAGTACTACCGAGTAACACAACATAACAAGAGTACTCAAAAGGTGGAGTAGAGTTGAAAATTTGTACATTAAATTGGTAACTTTGGCTTCGTTGATGTGTGTTTTCCAGGAGAGGCCCCACAGGACCCAGGTTTGGACCTCAAAATGACAAAATCAAGCAGTAAGTACAAACACATTCCTCATTACAGAGAAAAGCCAGAGGTCAGAGCTGTATAACCAGCGCTCTTAAAGTTTTGGTGTTGGTGTTATGTAACCGTGGCTCAGCGTGTTTACCAGAAGCTGTAGTTATTAGCATATTGTGTAAGAGAGGCCGTCATGTGCAGGTTATTGTGTAACCTTCCCAGGACACCTCCGTCCCTCTGCAGTCTGTTTCCACATTAAACTGCAGTTACAGACAAGCAGGAGAACAGAGGAGGTCATTGTTGAGACAGTCTGGCATCCAGAGTTGTTTCTCCACGCTCTCTTCATACTTTACAATTTCTCATTGTTGATAGTGCATGAAACTAGATGCCAGTCATTACTGATTCCAAGAATGGCGTATTCACAGGGCTCATGCTTCTCACCTCTGTGTGTCTGAACCTTTGACGTCAGGTCCTGTCCCCTACGTCCTGATGTCAATATTTACTCCGGCTGTGTTTATTCATGTTTCTAATACAAAGCTGAAGTCCGAGACTGACAGACAATCAGTGAGATGATGGTGGAAAATGTGACTTTCTATAGAGTAAACAAATATCCAAATGTTTCCCTCCTTCCTGCTTATCCTGCATCCCTCCAACAAATACTGCTCATGGTTACTTTCAAATAAGATTGACAGAAGGCTAATATGTACTGGTCATGCTATGCTCAGGTATGAGTTGCGTGAATAAAGCAAGGATTTGAGGAGATTTTTCAGACAGGTCAATATGAGCCTGAAAATCATCTGACAGGCTTTTTATTGCCCAGCAGCTGGACCAGGTTAGATGTAGAGGAGAGGATATTGCTGGAAAAACAGGTGCTCTGTGCTGTGGCGAGTTACCCACTAAAAAATAGAATTACGGCCAGACAAACTGCAGTTTAGACCCATGTCTGACCAGACTTATGTAATAAATGAAGTGTAGACTTTTAATGAATTTAATAAAAGGTGCAATATTAAGGGTATTAGCGTATGAAAGCTTGAGTTAAAACATCTAATGAAAGTGAATGTTTGTGCCAAATTTGATGAAATGCCTGGTTGTGGTTGTGTTCATGAGAATGGGATGACCAGACAACCCTAAAATATAATGCCTCTGCCTGGCAACGGCTGTTGCTGGAAAAAATGGATTAATTCTTGACAAATTCTGCACATTTTCCATTTCATGATTTATTTCCATTATTTACGATTCTGTCTCACGTCAACTTGCCTCCATAGGGTGCAGTCGCAGGTTGACGAAGTGATTGATGTGATGCAGGAGAACATCTCTAAAGTGATCGAGAGGGGCGAACGTCTCGACGACCTGCAGGACAAGTCGGGTAAGTCCTGCATGGGCAAAATACGTTGGGTTTTTTTGATTTGCAAAGTAAAATGACGCCAACACAAACTCCACAGGTAGCGTACACGTGGTTTGCACATGGCTCTGTGGATCATTACCCTAACCTTATGTGAGCTTATTCACGGGAAATGTACTTTTGTCAATAGCAGCAGTGTGCATCCAATTTAAAAGAAAAACACAAGTTAATGATGCCTAGTGATCCTAAGCGTGCCTTAGAGCAAGTGTAGGAATGCACTTGACTTAAATGTTATTTCACATCAGTGGTTAGATGTCAAACCTGCCTATATATGAGATAAACTTATAATATATTTGTTATAGAAACTTTATACAAGAGAAAAGTCCAAATTGAAGCAAGACCAGACAAATGATTAACTATTTGCATTAAAGTTGATTGATGCATTTGCAGTTAATTGTTTTATAACTTAATCACAAAAAAATTGTTGAGCGGAGGTTAAAACACACGCTGCAACTAACCAGATGGCTTGTGTTGTCGAAGCAACAGTCCCAACAGTCCAACTGTCAAATCATGACATTGGAGGTTCTTTCTCGACCCATGTATGATCCGTCCAAGTTTTGTGAAAATGCATCCAATAGTTTTTGCGTAATCTTACTGACAATCGAACAAACCACCCAACAACAGGACAGGGGTAACACAACCTCCCTGATGGAAGTACAAATTGTCGCAACTCTTCACTATACATTAGAAAAATGTGTAATATTTGTCAAATATTTTAGCTACAAAAATGTGTCGAGGAGAAGTAAAACCTTCAAACAGCCTTGTACAACTTTGCAGTTGCTTACACACTCACCTCAAAGGTGTGACTCTGTTACACAACTTTACACACACACACACACACACACACACACACACACACACTAAACACAAGTCTTCGTCTTTTGTTTAGCCTCTGTCTTGTTGACCCACCGACTGAGATAATGACACTCATCTGGAACACATTTGCTGTCTGTGTGTATCTCTGCAGTACATGTAGCTCTTTACAGTTGATTTTAAATGAGCAATATAATATCATGGGATTGACATTTGCAGTCGGCCCCTCTGACCCGTTTACAGGTAAACTGTTGTTAAATTCCACTGGATTAACAAGCATCTTCTCCGAGGTCTCGTCTGTGTGCTTCTCTTTGTCGTAGCGACAGGTCGTTAAAAGGCACATGCACGAGGAAACCGCAGACAGATGACAGACACAAAGGGTCTAAAGAGGGACAGGGGCTTGGACAAGTAGAACGCTGCACGCTAGGGAGCTGTAACGATCCTGTTAACATGCATAAACATCAAGTTAACAACAGTATCCAAGAAACAGAAAGACCGAGAGGCGTGCAAGAGCAGTTTGGACCTCACAACAAGGACAGAAGGGAGAAGGCTGGAGGAAATGTGTTTTCCTCCACTGTGTATATTTGGCCTCTTGCTGTTAACGTCAACAGAGTTAACATTTAAACATCACCATCAAAGCCTTATGTAACTTTTACACATTATAATGACTGCACATGCACAACACAGGGCCACACAGCTTGAGTAACCTTATTCATAACATCAAACTGTTGATTAATAGCTTGTTTATTGTTCGCTTTTTTCTCTCCTCTGCTTTTTATCCCTCTCCTCACATGTTCTTATCTGGGCTGCGGTCACGTGACGCTCCAGAGAGCCTATCGGACAATGCGTCTGCCTTCAGTAGCCGAGCCAAACAGCTGCACAGGAGGATGTGGTGGAGAGACATGAAGGTGGGCTGTGTGTGTTTTATGTGTGCGTGCGTGTGAGAGAGCGGTCATCAATTCTCCCTTTGGTTTGCATTTGTGTTGTGTTCTGTCCACTGTCAAGAGATGTTGAGTTTACTGAGGGATGTGTTTAATGTGCATGATTTCTCCGACAGATGAAGATGATTATTGGCTTGGTTGTGGTCGCTCTCCTGCTCATCATCATCAGTGAGTATGAGACCAAACCCCCGAGCACTGTTTGAAATGACTTAATGTGCTGAACTTCTCAGTAAATCTTCTTTCTCTATCGTTTTCTCTTTCAGTACCGGTGATCATGCGATACCGCTAGTGTCTGAGGAGGAGGACGGAGGAGAACCTTCTTCTTCCTCGCTCCTTCTCCCTCCTCTACCACTCTTCCTCTCCTCTGCACACAGTCCTCCACTCCTGCTAGGGGGTGCCAGCCAACCTCCCATAACCCTCCCCAGTATTAGCCCGTGTACCCTCAAGGGTCTGACCTCGACTTGCCCTTAGTACAGACCTTACCATTGGCTTTGCCACTGAAATCTGCTGTGAGATCAGCACTAAGGCTCCGTTAGATCCCTGGCTTGAAACTTTGCTACAGAAAGGGAACACAACGGGTAAGAAAAGGGGGGAGATATTTAATGCAGTGTGGGAGAAAACACTGACTCTCAGCCCCCTAGTCAAACGTGACGGATCGTTCCATTCCATGATACATATCACATGTCAGGCCATCATATAGATATTTATATATATACTGTAAAGGGAGGTAATTCATGCCAACTGTCGCTTCTTAGTTTCTCTAATCTGAATCTACTGGAGCAGCCTCGTACAAAGATGCTGTAACATCGACCAGATGAATCTCAGATGTCTACCCCCAATTCCCTTTGTGCTCTCTTGGTCCGAAATGGACAAGGAGAAAGTTTAAAGGGAACATTTTGTGAACACAATTACATTTCTCTGTCTTGACACGAGATTTCAATTATCAGATGTTTCCTCATCGACTCAGCTGATGGACCGGAAGAGAACGCACATCTGTTCAGGCAACATCCTGCTTTCTAACATTATTCTTACCTCGATAAATTGTCATTTTCACATGCCTCCTTAGAGTCTGTTGTACAGTACAACAGGACCATGTATAACCAAAACATCCGGGTTATGAATGTCTCCTCGCCACCTCTCACCTTCCCCCTCCAGCTGAGCTCTGGGCCGGTTTGGTCATGGCTGTCCTACATTCCTGCTAGTGACATGAAACCATCTCTCACTCTGCAGATGTTTTTATTTTGGTAATTTCAATACGGCTTCTTTTTTCACCATTTTTAAGTTCCTATTTCTGCTGGTCGCTCAGTGTGGTGCTTTGTACGGACGCTGGTATTCCCATCTCAGCAGATGGGACTGTTTGTCTCTGTGTCCTGTCACGTTTAGGTTTTAAAGAAGGTTCATTTAAGTGATGCAAGTTTGAAACTGTGAAACAAACATAGGCGTCTTTGTGTCTGGGTTAATTAATTGTATAATACAATAAAACTACATTGTCATTTTATTTTTTTTATGTAATTTATTTTAGCTGTAAATATTGAGTCTGTTGTGATATACAATATTCTGGCACTGCATTGGAAGACTGTGATATATTGATAATTTCTGCTCTGAAATAAAGTGGTTTTTAAGGGCACTGGTCGTTGGAAATAATTGACTGAATCGTAAAAGAACTATGGGAGAAATCAGTGGAAAACTTGTGAGAGGAAACAGAGAGGAGAGAGGGGTTGATGGAAAGAGAGATGACTGGAGGTGAAGAGGGAAAAACTAATCGTCATGCCATCCCTCCACGTTTGACCGCTAAGATTTCCTGAGCTTTCTTTTATCTCCTCTCATTAGCCGATCGTTTTATTGCTCTGTTATTTCACTGACAGCACAGAGTCCCAAGATGGCACTAAAGTTACAGGGCCCGCGAAGAGTTATTGTTCTGACAGACGCGCTGCTTTGCCCTCACAGGACAGGAGACGCAAACACTCTCAGACAGCTCTGCCATTCGCTCTGCCACCTCCCAACAACCCTACTGAAGGAGTAGAAATCCAATTGGCCCACAGAGGTCTTTTACTTCATTGATCTATGGCAGATGGCCTTGCAGCTTGCACATGTTACTGCTGCACGTGGCAGCAGGTGCTGGATTTATTTCAGCTTTTAACATAAAGGGGTCATTTCATCTCAACCAGAGCATAGTACTGATGTTGCCTGGATGCCATTGGTTTCTGAGTCTTGCTCAGTGACATCAGGTAGTATCGTCCTGGTTGGGCCTGTGGAGTTCATCATATCCATTTCATAGAACTGTACATTCCATTAGAGGCAGTGCTGGCTTAGTTTTGGGACTATTTGTTAATTTCAGTGCACGTTTACAGGGCCCCTGGCATTAGCTGCTCATTAGAGAGACGATATCCAAGAACCAGAATGAAGTCTGGTCAAACATTTTGAAATTTTTCACAAACCCTGATCATCAACTAATCCACTATAATTCTATTGATGGAATGCATGTAACTTATAGAATGCATGTAACTCAAACTAATCTTTGTATAATGAAAAATGACCAGTGTCTAAACTGTGCGTCCATAAGGACGGGGACTTATAAACATGCGTCCTCCAGTAGCCAGATTCTGGTGAATGACTGAATCCAATCTGTCTGAGATTTGTGAGAATAATGTCCCATAAGCACCATTGATATTCAAAGTTAAATAATTCATCTGCCTTGAAATTATATTTAGTAGCTGGACTGACCAAAACATTCACACTGTGAATCTCCACGTACTCTTTCCTCTCTAGATCTTAACATAGTTGCTGCATGTCTGGAGCAGTCCACTGCCTGTATGCATGGGGACAAGGAATCAGTGGCAATTCTACTCAACTAAAAACATTACTGTTGTGACTTCGTGACAGGATTGGTGGATTCTGGGTAGGAGAACGGTGGTCGGAAGGTTTTTGCTTTCATCATAATGTGGTAGTCATGCTTTCACAGACATCATTTAATATAATAGTACACTATATTTATATACCACCTTTCAAAATGCAGTTGGAAGGTACTTAAGTTAAAAATTAAGAATTTAAGTAAGAAGTAAGAAACAATAAAAGTCAGTTATAAGAGCACATAACATTCAGTCAGTACGATCAGAGGCAGAAAATGAATAAATAGATAAATATATGAAATATATTTTTTGAAATATAAATATAAATAATGAGAATAGAGCTTTTTTGCATAGTAAAAGGTTAAAATGTTGTGAAAAATAATCCTGGGAGGTCATGAGAGAGTAGTCTTGTGTCATTAAGAGGGATTTACAAGATGATATGGTGCCATACACATCTTCTCAGAGATATTGTTCCAAAGGTCCTATAACAGAAATGGCCTGATCACCTTCGGTCCTCAGCCGAGACTGTGGAATGGCCAGCAGGGCCTTAGCTGAGCACCTCAGGTTACGACTGATTTTAGGTGGAACACCAGAAAAGGCCTTTCAAGTCAAATTAAAATCTTAAAATCTATCTAAAATGTACCTGAAAATAGACTGAGTTTAATTCTGGTGAGGACTTTGTCCATCCTCAAGCAAAAGGAAAAGAAATCTTTCCCTGTTATGCCGAGCTGTATTTTTGTGCACCATGAGACGTTTTTATCCCCCCCGCCTCTGCTGACACACCCGCACTGGCAGAGGAGGATGTTTTGATCCTCTGGTAGGAGCTCACGCTGGATGACTTCAGATTCCGGGCATAGCAGTGGTTATATGAGTCATATAAAAGTGAAATAAACTCTCAATTGAGAAGAGTGGACAACGTGCCAACCAGCATTAGTCAGTCTCACACACACCCTGTCCAGAGGAGACTGTTGATCACAGACACACAGAGAGATGGATGTGTCAGTAGCCAGAGGAAGTGGATAATAAATCTCCAGACCATCTACACATGATACTGTGATATTTTTAAACATACCTTGTCCTTTTCTCAAATATTCCGACTTTGAAGTTGAACCTCTTCCTCACTTGTACTTTACCATGTGTTTCTTTCTATTTTTTAAAGCCTCTGTATCTGTTTGCATGTGAATTTACTCTCTCCCTCCAGCTATTCCTCCTTTCGCACTTTATTCCATCATGTCATACATGTGTCACACATTCACCTTCCTCCCCCTCTTCACTTTTCTACAGTCAAGACATATCCTGTCGGTTTCCACATCTTGACATTTTGCAACTCTACTGTTTTGGAAATCAAACTCATTGTCTGTCTGTCTGTCTTTCCAATCATCAAGTGAACCTCACCCAGATGAATGTCTCTGGCACCAGTAAACATGTGCCGACAGAGGCAGGGGAAGCATCAACCTGCAAGTAGAGGCGTGTTTTCAAGAATGTACTCACTTCACCTTGCGGCCCCTTCCCCCTCTGCCCTCTCTGGAGTGAGGTATCTGCGTGAGGTGATGCTCTACGGTTCGGAGTGACCTGGCGGGTCAGCAGAGATGGATGATCGAGGTGTTTGAACGCACATAGGAGCGAGGAGACACGGAGCAGGGAGAGATTCAGGAAACCTCAAACAAAGAGGCAGGATATGAGGACAGGCTTAGAGCTGTGAAGCCGGGGATTTGGAAGATGCATGTGTCTGCACACCTGCCTGGTTTGCGTGTATCACTGTGTCTCACTTTCAAATCTTTCATCCTGCCTCTCTGAAAATAAACAAGCGCTCATCCAGTGTATCACATGACTGCAGGATCGAGCCTCAGAGGCTGTCGTTTAAGCGTGTCTGTGATATTGTGTTAAAGAAAAGAGATGCGAGGCAGGCAGATCCACCCAGGCAGCAAGTGGCAGGAAGTGAGCGCAGATGCAGATGACCCCTGACAGCTCACTCCTGTTGTGTTAAGTGTACATTTCAAAACTGCAGGAAAACACACAAGCCCCTCAGCTGAAGGGCCCATGTCTATGTTGGGGATCAGCTCTGTGGTCATTGATTGACTCGTAATGGGGACCCTTTGTAACGATGGCCCTTTTGGCTGCTTGCGTCACATTCAGGCCCCCTACCAATATGAAAGAGGACACCGGCTCCTCAGGAGGTAATTGTATCTGACAAGGCCCAGCTCTCCCTGCCATGCTGGGGCCAACGTCCCCCAAACCCCCTCCGACAAATGGGATGGCATTGTGCGTACCGGGGGGTGTTTTGACAGATAAAACACAAATAAATGGAGACGTTGCAGAGGTGAATGATGAATGTTGAAAGAAAGCCAGACTCCAAAATCCAAGAGGCAGGGTTTTGCAGGAAGTTAAACACACTTAAATATTATGAAAAAATTTGATGTTTTTACTTTTTCTTTTCTTTTTTAATCCCTCCCCCCCACCTACACACACACTTGCCTCTGATCTCCACCCTCCCCCTTAGTCCTCTCCTTTCTCCCCTCCCTCCCTTTCACCTCTCCTCTCTTCCCCTGCTTCCCTCCGTCCGTCCCCTCCAGATTGTATAAATATCTGTGAGCTGTAGCAGTAGAGCTCAGTGTTAGAGAACCTGTTCACTGAGGAGAGAAGAACAAGAGCTGCAACACAAGAGACACCTGAGAGAAACGAGAGAGACAGACATCACCTGAAATTGGGTGTTTGTGAGGAGAATTCTGAGCTGAGAAATAAAGAAGTCCGGAGATTTTAAATTGAGTCTGTGTTGAGGGACTATCTTCAGTATGTTCCTCCTGCTCTTGTTGTGTATGTGTGGTCTTCTGCTGCGAGGTGATGCACAGGACAGAGCGTCTCTCTGGAGGGGAAACGACCGCAGCGGGCGATGCCAGTACACCTTCACTGTGCCCAGCCCTGCAGAGTCCACCTGCCCACAGACGGGTGGCCCAGAAATGGAGGGTCTGAAGGCCAGACTCGGTCTGCTGGAGGTACTGGTGTCTCGCCTGACAGGTGGGGACATCGGGGGTCCCCAGGCGTCTGGAGCAAGGGCCCAGGCTGAGCTTCAGGAGGCGCTGAACCGGGCCACAGGGGAAAGGAACCTTCTGCGGGGGGAGAAGGATCGTCTGGAGAGGGATCTGGGGGCGCTGCAGCACAGGATGGAGGAGATGAGGAGGGACATGGAGAAGCTGAGGAGCAGACCCTGTCCTCCGCAGACCCCCATGGTGCCGCCCAGCACCTCTCAGCAGAACACTGGCCCGATGAGACCTGCTGCGGGTGAGCAATACACCCACACCAGCACACACTTTTACAGCTATTACAAAAATGTTCAAAGCTTAATGAAATGTATAATTAGAAAAAAAAAAATCAACTGTAAATATTATATTATTATAAGTGTACAGTAAATAAGATTAAATGTATATGTATATGTATATATATATATTCTGCCCTATCCATTATGTTATTAAGATGTACTGTACATCTCCATGTCCTAACTTCCTGCAGTCTCCCTGATAAAAAAAAGTGTTTGGTGACTCTGACTAAAGGATAATGTGTTAATTGGAGCAGCAAAGTGATGACACATGAATGTCATCTATGTATGGAATACCATGCATGTATGGAGCCATGCAAAATTCCAATGCATTGCTTGGGGGTATGTGTGTGTGTCTGTTTCTGTGCAGAGGCGTTAAAGCTCAGATTCCTCCTGACCCCATATCCACTCACAAAAAAGAAAAAAGAAGGGGGTACACTGTGTGTACATGACGCGTG